CGCGCGAGTGACTGCAGTGCCCCGAGGCCCCGCCCCCCGCGCGGGAGATGCTGGACGAGCCGCCTCCAGGGTGGAGGAGCACTGCCCCGCCCCCCGCGTCCTGCTCCGAGCGGCTGCGGCCCCTGCGGTCCCTGCAGCCCTGGTCTGCTGAGCCTGAAGTTGGTTGCTTATTCCCCGTTTCTTATTCCCGGTTGCCACTTCCTTTTTCAAAGCTAATCTAGACCCAATAAAAGCTTGTTATTAATGAATTACACATCCTACACAGAGAGAATTGCATTAGCTATGCAGATGTACTAATTAATATGTAAAATAATACCCTGCATCCAGTACAGAGCCCTAAGTGCAGCTCAGATTAGGATGGGATTCGGGGCAAAATACTTCGTGGGCCACCCCACACTTCCTCTCCGTGCCACTGCGGGGCTGTCCCAAAGAGCCGGCGGGGACCACGGTCCTGCCCGGCCCAAAGCAGGGTTTGGCTGTGCCAGGCTGCCAGCTGAGCTCCCCCCATCCCCACTGTACTAAGTCTAATGGCTCGAATAAGGAACTGGCTTTGGGGCTGTAATTATGGCTAGAAGTGCTGTTTGGGCCACCCCATGACACACCCCTGTGCCACCTGGGGACTCTGCTGGACACGTGTGACCGGTCTTACCCTGTCCAGAGCGCAGGTTGTTCGTGCCACGCTGCTAACTAGCAGCCCCCCCGCAAATGCCGAGTGTCAGAGCTGATCTGAGCAGGGTGTGGGGCCTGGGGCAAAGCCGCAAAGTGGGGCCCCTGCCCCTGCTCTGATTGCCCCGGACCCGATAAAGCTGCCCCCACTGTGGTTGGGGGAGGGGAGGGGGGAGCAAGCAGCTGGATGCGGAGATTGCCCTGCCAGGATGTCAACTCACAGGGGAAAAAAGCCCTGTTGTATTAGATTTTTAGTACTGGCCCAGGCCAGGCTCAGCTTCAGGGCTGAAGCCAGAGCTGAGCCACCACCCGCTACAGGCCTGGGTGGCTTGAGGGGTGTGGGAGACACTGCAGCCTACCCTGCCTCTTTACCACCTTCCCCAACCCGCTCCCCGCCAGCAGTTGAGGAACTGCTTACCTTCATCTTTGGCTCAAATTATTGATTCAAAGTCATCTTGGATTGAAGTAAATACAGTAATGTAGGCCACGTCTGGGAGGAGATAACTCAGGACAGATGAAAATGGAAGTGCATCAGAGACCAAAGTACTACACTTTGGTCAGCCATGGGAAGGAAGTAGTAGAAAGGGTTACAGGAACCCCGCTCTCCAGCCCCCTGTGCTAAGCCCGTCCCCATCAGCCCCAGAGGCTTTGCCTGAGGGTGCAGCAGGCAGGCAGTGAGGATGCAGATGCTGGGCGTCATGATACAAGATGCCTTTATTGTACATTCCCATACAGAGCACCTGCGCCGCGTTGTGCTGTTGTGCAGTGGTGGGGAGGGCGGCGCCACGGACACCCCATCACAGGCCTTCACTTCCAGAGGCTGCAGTCACCCAAGTAAGGAACACACCAGCCATGGCCTGGCAGGCTCTGGCCACAGCCCATGGCACGCAGCACAGATGGACTTCCCTCTGCCAGGTGGCTGCCCTGTGCCAGTGGCATTGGTTGTATCACCTGCTGGCACTCTGGCTGTGTGCACAAGGCAGCACTGCTTCCATGTAAGCCAGCAGGCAGCCAGCATGGGGAGGAACTGCAGGCTCTGTGCAGCAGCATGGCAGCACAGGGCAAACAGCAGCTTGGCTTGGCTGCTGGCCTGAGAGCATGACACAGGCAGCAGTTTGTAGTGGCCCTGCTACATGGTCTGGGCACTTGTGCAATGGCTGCCTGAGGGACAAGTGGTGCTTGGCATATCCCAGGATCCCCAGGAGCCTCTTTTCATTGCCAGCACGGGCACAAAACACCAGAACCTGCCGTCAGTGACTTGGATGCAGGGCGGGCCCACCTGTCACTAGAGAACTCCCATGGCCCTAATATCCTTCTCCTCAACGACAGATGGGGAAACTAAGGCAGAGAGGCCTGACTCTAGGTGTTCCAAGATCCGCCCCCCTCCACTCCCAAGTGCTCCTAAAAGCCCCAAAGCGCCTTACCCAGGATGGATGATGCTGGGAGCAGACCTCTAGAGGCTTGACTGAAGAGCCTCTTGCCCCCCAGCCTCTCTAATCTGCAGAGCTCTCACTTTGTGGCCAGCAGGATTCCTTCCCTCCCAACCCTCCTGCCCTGCACCCGCAGGCAAGAGACAGCATCTGAAGTGCTCAGCTCCAGGCCTATTAAGCCTTTCCCATGCTATGTGACATGCTGCTGGTGCCACAGAGGGCCAGGCCTCTCAGGGATGCAAGTTATAGGGTTCTGGTGGTCATCAGCATCCATAAGAGTGTGCAACCTTTCTCCAGGGTCTCAGCAAAGGATCTCCAGACACCTGAACAGAAGAGGGCGTGAGCATGTGGATGAAGGTGCCAGCCCCACTTCAGAGATGGTGGATAGAGGCAGAGAAGGGTCATATGATTTGCCAAAGGTCACACAGTGGGTCCAAGGCAGAGGAGCAAAGGGAACCCAAGTTTCCCGATCCTCAAGCCATGCCTCATCAGCCAGTCCTGCTTTTCTACTGCTGTTTTGGCCTGTGCATGATTTCTGGTTTTGCTGCTACATTGAGATTGGCTGGGTCCATTTGACCATGGAGATTCAGTGCACAAGGGAAGTGGCTCACATACAGGGATGCAATGTGGCACCAGATGGGATTTGGGCACATGCATGGGTGTTGGTTGACAGATGAAAACCAGAGACACCATAATGCCAGCCTGGTGGAGGGGAGATGAGGGCAATTCCATGCTCCCAACTGAGTGAACCAGCACACACTGATCCCACACTCGACTGACATACATCGCTAACAAGGGCACGAGAGGGAGGGGGAACAGATTCCATTCAGTAATGGAGACACTGAGCTAGCCGAGTCCATTACATGACTTTCTGAGTGGCAGGGCAAATGTGCGAGCAAGAAGTCAGCACGAGGAGATTTCCCCCTTGCTACTTCATCTGGTGTTGGCAGCTCCCACGGACACAACCAGACCGCACTAGCGTGAGTGAGAGCACATCCCTGCCCTGGTGGACTGGCTCTCGCCCAGGCGGTCACGTCTGCAGCTCCACAAGGCAGTTCTTGTCCTTGTTGGCAATGCTCGCCTTGTGGTGGGCTTCCTCGAGGTCCTGCAGCACGTGGAAGAGCCTGGTAGGACCATCCATGTTTTCGGGGGCTGTGAAGGAGGAACAAGCAGAGGTAACACCTGCAGTTAGATTCCTCTTCCAGCAGCAGCTGCTGCCAACACACCCATCCCTGAGGAGCGGATGCCACTGCCTGGCCCAGGGCCTGGAGAGGCAGCTTTTGCTATATCAAGTCAACTATTCTCTGACTAAACTCTAAATTTTCCGTTTTTTGAGGTAAAATTGGGCTTGCAAGGAAGCAGTGTCTTTTATGAGGTATAAGTACTGCCTTTTCTGAGCAGTGCTTACATTTTTCTCAGCAAAAAAAAATCCAACACTTCACACCCATGGATTCAGCCATGCTGATGCGGGCCCCCAGGGAGCTGTAGCTCTGTTGCCTCATGTCCATTCTCTGCTGTGGGCCTGGCTACTTGGCTGGACTACATATCCCACCATACACACCAGCCACAGGCGCTCGTAATCCACCTCCCACAGCCATTCTGGGGGTGCATGGGCAGTAGGGGAACCCGGGAAGCCAGTGCAGGGCTTCTAGCTTATACCAGCGGAAGGGCCTTTGTGCCTAAACACAAGCCATGGGGACTGAACAGTGGCAGGAAAGCCTGCTAAAGGCCAACCGCCTCCTAAATCCATCTATGTTCTTCCACCAGAGCCCATTGCTGTGGCACTCGGGGATGGCCATGGACCTTCTGTAAACCATGTTCACACAGCGAGGTCACTCAGGGCCTGATCTAGTCAACAGGAATCTTGCCACTGCCTTTCACAGACTTTGGACAAGGTCTGCTATGTGCTTGCTGCACCAGTTGACCAAGATGTCCTGTCCCTAGGTCACCTGGCACTGGATGAGGCAAGCCCGGCGAGATTCCTAACCTGTTGCACATGGAAAAACCACACGTTCAGTGCTTTCTTTAGCGAGACCTGCTGTGTAGTTAGGGGAGCTGGAAGACAGGCTGGTGGGCACCAAGTGTCCTTCCCTCATGTCTGAGAGAGAAGCAAATCCACCCCAGGTAGAACAAGTACTGCCATCTGAGCCTATTGGGGGGAATGGAAGTGATCACTTCAGAAGGGGAATGGGCACTATAGACCGTGGAGGAAACACGGCTGCACAACAACTTGCACATCAAGGTGGTCCCAGGGGTGCCCTGGAAGGCTTGATAAGGCAGCACTGTCACAGCAAGGTAGTACCTTCACTTTGGCTCAGGCCGTTTTCCCTTTTCTCCAGCATCAACTCCTGGTACTTTTCCCTTTGGATAACAAGAAAGAAGAAGAACTGGGTTTCTAAGTGCAACACACACAATGGGCCAATTCCCCTTGTCAGCTTGGCCTCAGCCTTATTCAGTCCTGCAAGACACTACCAACAAAGGGAGCTGGAGGTGTCCAGCACTGTGCAGGGTGGTCTGTCTGCTCCCCTGGCTAGCTTGGGGCACGCAGTGGCTTCTCCTAAAGACTGAGGAGCCATTTCAGCCCCTTGCCCATCCTCCTTCCCGTGTTCTCCCGCTCTACTGTAGCACTCCGGTGGGGTCACAGAAAGGCAAGGCCAGCCCAGCCCAGATGTTACAGGGACAGGAGAAGGCAATTTGTGGAGGAGGAAAAGAGAGGAGCCCCATCATCAGGGACAGGTACAACCAGGCACTGCACAGCACTGCTGAGAACAGTCCTGCCTGAAGGATGGGGGGAGACTCATAGGACTCATAGGACTTTATGATTTCTGCTTTCTGGACTCACCCACCTGTTTCCCCCCAGGGCACCTCATCCATCATCACAGAGACTGGAGACTAGTCCCCACAGAGCCTGGTGTGCACCGCCTCCACCCCATGTTACCACAGCCCGTGGGACTGGTGCAGAGAGCCTTAAACGAGGCCCAGGCCAGTTCCAGCCTGAATGGGACAGGCCACTGGATAGCACAGTGCAGGCAACTCTCCTCACCTGTGGCCCCACGGCCGTGCAAGCTGCTCTGTGCTGGTCAGTCCCTGCCCACTGCTCGTGATGATCCCCAAGAATGAGTGCATGGCATGTGAGACTCACCCCACATGTACATCCTCCCAGGCACCCACTTGTACAGTCCTAGTCCCGCTGTGGGGGTGTGCCTCACCTCATCGCTTCCCTCACTCCAAGCAGGTGCCTGAAAATCAGCTGAGACTCTAGGTCTGGATCCAAGGGATCATTCCACTCCTGCAGCGTGACTCCGTGCCGGGTTTTATCACAGCCCAAACCTAGGAGGCCAGCGAGAGCCAGGAGGTTGGTGTCAGATGTGTGGCTTGCACGGACAGAAGGTAGCACTGGAGCTAGACCCACACAGCCTGCACACAGATCCTCAAGTGGCCTGGGTGTCCTAGGGAGTTAGGTTTTATATCTCTGTGCCTAGTTCACCCTCCACCTTATTCTGACTTAGAGGTGGGAGAGCCCCATAGCCTTGGTAAGGTGCAGTTTAACACACCACAAGCCCCAGTGAAAGCAACAGTGCTCTGCACCCCCTCAAGCCAAGCATTTTCCACCCCCAAGGGCAGGCCTCACAGCATCCCCATCAGCCAGGAGCTGAAGGCACAGACAGGCTGGGTGACCTACCCAAGATCCCATGGGGACTCAGTGGCAGAGCTGTGGCAGAGACCCCACGAGTCCTGCTGCTGTCCCCGCCCGACTCATTCGTCGCCCTTTGCAGAGAGCAGGCTGCAGGGCACAGTACCTGACTTGTCCTTCTGGTGGCAGCAGCTCCACTTGTCTCCTCTGAACACACCGGGGTGATAGGAGCACAGCATCTCTGAGTTGTTCACGCAGACCTTCCTCAGGGCTGAGAGCCACTGGTTCAGCTCGTTGACACACTGAAACATGGGCAAGGGGCTAGGACTGGAGCTGGGGGTGGGGTGTCGAGCTGTGCAATGCCAGCCCTGCACAGCTTAGAGCCCAGGGCTCCCACACATTGTCGTTGCACCCAGCCCAGCACGCCTGCTGCCTCTAGCTGTGGCCCTTGCCTGAGGCAGCACCTCCACACTGCAGCACCTCCTGCTGCCCAGATATTCCCAGGCTGTCCCTGGTTCCTCAGAACCACGGGCATGATGCATCGCTTCAGCTCCCAGGCTCGCACACTCCAGTCTGGTCCAACTGCCCAAGCTCCTCTTTCTCCACTACCCATGGGCACACCCCCTACCCACTCCACAAAGGCACCTGCCTGGTGGCAGTCCCACCTTGCACTGCAGATAGGCCGTCTCCGACTGCCCCGTCTCGTCCATATAGATGATCTGCATCACGTGGGAGTTGCCAAAGCTTTTCTCCTCCACCTTCTCAGCCGCCCGGATGTTGGACAAGGTGATGAAGGAGCTTTTCTGAATGGCAGCCCAACGCAGGGGGCAGAAGCATTAGAGGGGAAGACAGGCGTGACCTACCAGATCCAGATGGCCGTGGGTTCCTTCCACTGCAAGGACCACTGGGCATGGGCTGTGAAGCAGCTCCATTGCCTTTAGACCTCCAAGTGATGAGTTAGCTAGTCCCGCCTCTGAGGCTTCACATGCATACTGCCCATCCCCCTTTACCTCCCATGTACGCTCCCTCAGTGCTAGGGACAGTTCAAACCCATTTCACAGATGGGTGAGTGAAGCCTAAGCCCTGCTTCCAGCTGCACCCCTCCCCACTCCAGGCTGCCAAATCCTTGCACTTGCCCTGCCAGGTCTCACAGGGGCAAATATGCCCCCTCCAACCCTGTCCTGTGTGTCCTCAGGGGCTCAGTGCCCTCTCAAGAGGCCCATGGGATGCTGGAGTGGAGGCAGCATAGAGGTGGGGGCTGGTGCTGAGGGCTTCAGCAGGAAAATTTCTCTCTCTGTACAGTTCAGGCAACACCCAGCACCAGGCCAAGAACTGCACTTCCCCAGTACAGACCAGAAGAGACTGATCCAGAGGCTGGCTGCCAAGGATGGGTCGGTCCCTGACACCATATGCCCATCCAGTCCCAGGTCACAGCAGAGCATGACCTCCTACCCCTGCCCTCACCTTGGAGCTGGGTGTCTTGGCAAAACTGAGGGCTTCACTCGTGAGGGAGAAGTACAGTTTCTTGAAGGACGACGACATAAGTGGCCCTTTGCCTTTGGTCTTGTGGATGAACAGTGGTCCTTCCTTCACAATGAGGGTCTGCAGGGTCAGTGCCTTCTGCAGGTCCAGCTCTGCAAATGACAGACCCCAGGGCTGATGCTCCCAGAGCCACGAAACTTTTGTGGGAATGACAGCTGGCAGCCTTGGCGCCCCTGGGCCTCAGAGTAGTGATGGGCATGGAGCCGTCACTCCCTTCTTGCAAACAGGGACACAGGGCAGGTGACCCAGAAAATCAGAGGCGGCCCCATGGACTGGGATGAGGACGGAGGTCTCCTCCTTCCTAGCTTAAGGCCCTCTCCACTGGCTGCACTGCCCTTCTTATGAGGCACGGGGAGATCCATCTGTGTGCCATCTACCCAACTATCACCATATAGACTAAACAGGGTGACCAAGTTCCAGCCAGGGAACACTCACTTCAGGACAGGGGACCACCAGCAATGGCAAATGCCCCTGAGCCAGCCAGACCCAGTGTGGGTCCCTGGACAATCTGGCTTCAGGAGCCTTGTTCACCTTCCTTCTCCTCAATGTCCACGAGCTTGATGATGAATTCCTTCATGTGGGCGACACCCTGCTGGATGGTGGGCTGCAGAGGGGCCATCCATGCCTCCTTGGTGCGGCTCGCTGCAGTGTCCATGTTCCCAATGGTCTGGATTGCCTGGCCCCAAATGAAAAGGCAGGGCTCATGGCATGCCCAGAAAGCAGCCAAGGTGCCTCGCAGCCATCAAAGAGGCCCGTACACTTTGGACAAGACTAGAGCAGGACCACGCCACTTGGCACTGCAGGACTCCCCAGGAGACCAGACCCCCAGCAGCATTCCTCACGGCAGAGAAAGGGGCTCTTTATGGAGCTGGAAGGACACAGGCAAAGCAGTTCTCTGCCTGTGTGACTGACTCAACTGGTTCAAGATTCCCCCCCCCCTCCTCCCCACAGAAATCTCACCCAACCATGGCATCTGTAGGAGGGGGTCCTTCAATTGCTGGGGGACCCCAAATCTATCCACTGCCCAGGAGTCAGTGCCCAGTAGTCACTGCCCCATCCCGATCCATGAAGGCATCCTTCAGCTTGCCTAAAAGAACACGCAGCCCTGGGGCATGCTCACAAGGACCCCAATGGTCCCTGAGGCACAAGACCCACCTCTCCCACACACACACACACACACACACACACACACACACACACACACACACACACACACACACACATATGCTGACAGCGCATCCCAGGGCTCACCTTAGCCAAAAGCAGCAGGGTGCGACTGGTACGGGCATCTGCGTGCTTCTCCCGCAGGTGAAAGAGCTTGGGGGACATGACGGCCGGGGAGAAGAAGCGGAGGCTGAGAAAGCTGGTAACGGCGATGAACTTCACGTTCTGTGGGGAAATCACTCATCAACACTGATGTGCAATGATAGGTGCATGTCCGTGCACACACACACACGCACATGCACTGGCATAGGGCTCCACTGCTGTTACCATCTGTGCAAGGCAGACCAGAATGGGACCCTCCAGAGCTATCAAGGCCTTGAGACATCTCAAAATGCTGCAGAAACCATCCAGTGTATCCGCCCAGCCCTACAATGCAACCAGCTCTGGGGTGGGGGAAGGTGTCAGCTGTTTACTGGGACTCGGGAGAATCCTTCCTCCTGTATAAGCTGCAGGGGGAATTCAGGGAAGGCAGGATGTCATTCCAGGGGCCAGAAGGAAGTGGGCACTGAGGTTCATGCCCCTCTCCTTCAAAAAGCCCCTCAGATCCTTCACAATCATGAGCCGCTAGGATTGGAGGTGGCTCCCACAGCAAAGACGACCTGCTTTCACTGTGCTGTGGACAGCTCTCAATTGTCATTCTGCAGAGCTGCCACGGGGTGTCGCAGGAGCTGCATCTCACACTCCCCATGCCCCAGGTCTTCTCTGCAGGCCTGGCTCATGGGTTGGACCCCATCTCCATAACAGAATTTCCCTTGGGGAAAGGCAAGGGCATGGTACATATAGGAGCCCCTAGCCATGGTGCATCTGGGGAAACAGCGTGGCTGGGAAGCCCAGCCCAGAGAAAGGGATGAGAACAGAAAACAACTGGACTACAGCTTCTGTAGGGCACCACAAACAGGTCTCTGCATCTGAACCGTTTGGGTTTTCAGGTGTCCTCCAGTTTAGAGTCTCTCCCACAGGGTGCCCCAAGGAGTTATGGTCCCTCTGGCAGTGCGGCAGCCTTCTCCCGGGCCCTGTAGTGCCTGCTCCCCTGCACTGCCCCACACGAGACAGACCAGGCCCAGAAGCACCGGTCTACTGACCTTGTGCTTGTTCTCGGGGAAACGCTCTCCCACTCGTGTGAAGAGCTGCCGGAAGGTGGCACGGATGTTGGCGGGACACATCTTCACTGACTTGGCAATGGCGGCAAGGAGCTCACCCAAATAAGACTGCAAGTGCTGGGCACTCTGCTGGATCACCTCGCTCTCCGTCTGGATCCGGTGCAGCCCTGAGCACCTGCCAGCGGCCAGACAAACACACTCAGGCAAGACCCACTGTGGGCCCAAATGCTCTCAACTGCTGCTCAGCTGGAGGACAGTAATAGCATCCCACATGCTTCAGGGCTGACTGGTGACAGGCTGGGTCAGGAACGATTTTCTTCTGTCCTACACTGTGCTGGGTACTGCACCACTGGTGAATGCAGGGGGGCCCAAGAGCCCAGCCCTAGCTGCTGAGAGATGCAGGCCACTGAATGAGCAAGTGTGGCAGCTGCTGGGTGCACCCACTTCTAAGTCATCACGTGACCCCACAGTGATTTGTCTGCATTCAGAGGCACAGACACCATATCTCCACTGCACAATGCAGCACAGGGTAGGGACACCTCTGACCGAGCCAGCTTGAGCACTGGAAGCAGTAGCAGCCTGGACACCACACCATAATAATTTACTCTTCTTCCCAGCAAGGTTAATTAACACCAGGCTAATACAGCTCTCCAGCCTCAGGTGCCTGAGCCTGCCCCACAGAAGCTCATGCCTGTGCCTTATAGGGTGACATACACAGAGATAAGAGTGGGAGCTCCACCTTCCCAGCCATGGATCCAGAGCTCTGAACTTGCCTGAATGCCAGCCCTCTGGTGCTACTGGGCCAACATCCTCCAGAGGTCCACGGTACAGACAGACAGGGACCTGCTGGCTGGTATTTATGCAACTATGCTACTGCTCTAGGTAGCAGAGTGTGGCTGCGTGCGAGATCCAGTGCCAGGGATGAGTGGGGACCTCTGACATTAGCAGAGTGGTGCCAAATGACCACTCTGGGTCCCCAGACTCTGGCCTTTCAAGATCATGGGCCAGATCTTATTTGCACCAGATTTATACCACTGTTATTCCTCCTTTACAGCCATGTGAGAAGAGGATCAGGCCCCTGGCAGGTGGCAAGGAGGTAGGCCCAGTGCCTGGGACCAGGGCACAGGCTGGGCTGGCAGTTGGCATATTGGCGTCTCAGCCCTTGGGGCTGAGCCCCTGCCCCTTCTCCCTCTTTTCTCTGCTTTGACCCCAAACAGGGACGCATGCTGGGTGTGACACTTGGCTCAACCCTTACCCAACATCTTTAATCTCCACCTTGCTGGGGTCCAGCTCCACATACTTCTTCTCCTCAAAGACACGGTTAATTGTTGGCCCCAGGATGCTGTGCAAATACTGCATCCCTGCTACCTGCGCGAGATAGATCGTGATGTGAGCCACGTACCCACAGGCTCACCAGGTTACACACACACACTCTCTCTCTCTCTCCCTCTCTAGTATGTACTGCAGCGTCTTGTCTCCCTGTAAGACATCCCATTTGTTTTTAGCTAGCAAAACCATGAATCCCTCAGGTAAGCCCGTCTCTCTCCTCCCCTGCCATTGCCACCACAGGACATGCTTTGCCTGCTTCCTAAGGGGAAGACTGGATATTCTGCATCTCCAGCTACATTCTCTACTGCAGCCCTCCAGCCTGAGAAAGCCTTGGAGGTACCTTAAACACACCCACACCCTCCTGGATGTCACTAGACATGGGTGCAACATTGGCAGGCAGTTCCCACCTGCAGCAGCTGATTCAGGGCCCTGTTTCTTCACTGCTCATGATCAGGAGGTTCTCCCCACAGCCTGGTGAGCAGGTGGGGACTGGCTGCAGTGCACAGATCTGCATCCAGTTACGGGGTTCCGCTTCAAGCCTGTCTCTGATCTATAGGCGACCATGCCCTTTGCTGGAGCAAAGGAAGGGTCCCAAGGTGGGGGTTGGGGGTGCCCTGTCAGACCTCCTAGCACTGGCCAAAGGTAAAGTGTCCTATCAGTTTAACAAATCTCCTCCATGGAGCAGACCAGGGACTGCAACTGCAGGGGAAACTCCTTGGCCCCAGGGGGCATCTCCACCCCAGGGGGCAGCGTGAGGGGTTTCACAGGCTTGGGCAGAGTGTGCGGGGCAGGCACCTTCAGGAAGGACTCCATCGACTTGGAGGCCAGGGAGTTGCTCCGGAATAATGTGTTTGGTTCACCTGCAAAAACAAAGGAGCAGGAGAGTTACCCATGAGAAGCCCCCGGAGCACAGAGCCTGGCTTCATCCACATGGAGCCTGGCACATGCCGAGCAGAGGCAGGCCAGGCAATTTTGCACATAAACTTGATGGGTGAACTAGCCTGGGAAAACAATAAGGGGCCCACAGCCTTGTCTCAGAACTCAGCTTAAATCCACCTGATGCTTTTGGGGGCTTGAAGAGACAAAGGCAGCTGACGCTCCCTCCCCTGGGCAAAATTATGGGGGAAAAAGGATTCGCAACCCCATAACTGAGGTCAAGAGGGTCCCAGACCAACAGGCTCCCCAGTGACTCCAAGGCCATAATGCGCAACAGTGCCCATGGCCTTGGGCCTTACATGTTTTGTCCAATTCTAGCTTGAAGAGAAGGTCCAGGAACTCTTTGGCCAACCCTTGGCCCAGAAAGAGCTTCACGAGGTTGATAGCCACTTCCTGCCTGCACTCGGCCGTGGTGGTCTCATCAATCAGGGTGATCAAGGGTATTTTTCCATCCTGGCAGAAGAAAAGTGTGGGCTGTGGGGAACAGAAGAGGCCAGGCCAAGCCCTTTCCCCTCAGAGAAGGGTGTCATATTCCAGAGGGGTTTTCTGGATGCTGGTGAAAGACCCCAGCTTGGAGCCCTGATGAGTGAAGGTTGCAGGGCAGATGCAGCATTAGCATCAGCAGAGTCAGTATCACAAACCCTACCAGGCCTGACAGGGTGGCTTGGAGCCCCGCACTGAGCATGCTAAATGGACAACCCTCCTTCATATGAGTGAAAGGAGTAACCCCCTCAGCAGGCACCTTTCCTCTCATAAGGCTAGTCACTGGGAGAGAGCCAGGCCTCTCCTTGGCATGTGTCCTGCCATCTTCCCCTGTGCAGCTTTGTCCATTTCCCTCTATTGGACTGTAAGCTCTCTGGAGCAGAGGCCAGCCCTCTGTGCTTGCGCAGCCCCTTGCACTGTGGGGTCCTAGTTTGCAATACCCTATAGTTATATTTAATTACAAACAGTCAATTTTAAAGGAGCCATGTCTAGGAGCAAGGGGTGGTTTTCCCTCTAGACCCATTAAATGCTCAGCCTGGTGAGATGTCAGGGACATTGCATGAAAGCTTGTGGGACAGAACCGTTTAACAGGACCGTTTGACATTACCCAGACCAGGCAGGAGACTCATAATGGTCCCTTCTATAACTGTAAATTCTTGCCCAGAAGTGGGCAGACACCTCAGGTGCTTCCCATGTTTGGCAGCCCCACAGCGCCATCCTGTATGGGGGGGGAGCGGGTGCAGCCACCTCACCTTTGGTCCCATTTTAACTTCCTGGCAGAGCAGCTGGACCAGTGGCTGGTAGTAGCTGGAAGGCAGCACTGTCTCATCCCGCAGCCTCACCTGCAGCTGCAGGGAGCCCAGGTTGCCTCTGAAATAGATGGAGCAGAGAACCACAGTGAAAGGATGCCCTGCATGTCACAGCCCAGTAGTGGGCCAGTTCCCTGCACTCAGGAATGCTATTGACTGCTGCTCCCTTACAGCATTGCTAACAAGGGTGAAGAAACAGGCATGGGGGGAGAGCGCTCCCTCCTCACTCGTGTGTACTGCTCCATGCTTCTTGGGGCCCCTGGCACAGCAGGACCAGGGCAGATGCAGAGGAGAGAGGGCCCCTTACTGAGATGCCCATGCTACTCCTGGCAGCATGGAGTGTCAGGGAGGTGCGGGGCCAGTACTGATGCAGAGGGGAGTGCACCCCTATTGATGCACCGGCGCCACCACCATGCAGCATCAGGGGCAGCACCCGTGAGCAGAACATCAGCGTTACCTCAGCCTGCCCAGGAGAGGACAGGATAAATGACAGAGACTCACTCATCCACTCTTGGCTTGGATTTATCTGGCCTCAGCCTGAACCAGCCCTCCTCCTGCTGGATGGTCTGCAGGCCCTGGATATTAAACACCACCTAGGAAAGAAGGCAAGAGAAAGTGAGATGTGCCCCTCCTGTCTCCCTGCTCACAGCAAGCCGGTGTTCATGCAATTCAGGCATTGGTGGTGGTAATGGTCTTGCTGACTAAGTCTCATGTTCTTCTGACTAATCGCTCATGTTATAACAATCCCTCAAGGCCATGGCTGAGATTGGGGCCCAGTCCTTGGCAATGCACGTGCCCATGGGGTACATTCCTCCCGAAGTTGCTGAGATAAACCCCTTGGTATTGAGCTCATGCTAAGCTCCAGGCTGCAGCAGCTAAACTGCTTCTGATCCCTGAGTCAGCTGGGGTCTGCTCCACTACATGGCAGTCACAGCAGTGACTGCCTATTCACCAATGGAGAGAGAGCCCCCTGCTGAGGACTACACAGGGAAGTGCGGGAGCAAGGACATTTTATTAAACTCAGAGGGATCCAGCGACTGGCCCAGGGTCAAGTAGGGGGTCGGTGGCAGAGAGGAACTGAACCCCAGTAAAGCTGTGCTCCTGCCAGAAAAGCATTTTTAGGACAGCTGAGTCTAGCTGAGAAACTCCCAAATTAGGAGCTTTCCTCTAGGTCTCCCAGGACTGCAATGGTTTTCATAAAACCACTTGGATTTCCTAGAGGACTTTTCATCCAAGAATCTCAAAGCATCTTACAACAGATGAGAACGAGATTTTGATCTCTTGGGCATGTTACTGGCCTCCCTTTACTGTAGGACCCAAACACTTCACGTTAGACCCATGCCACCCCAGTGAGGTACAGCAGTGCCACTACCTCCATCATACTGAAGAGGTAAAAGCAGAGACAGACTAAGTGACTTGCCTGAGGTCAGCTATGGAGTGAGTAGAAGAGGAAAGTGACCTGGGTGCAAACTCTCAAGTCCCAGGATAGTTCTCTACCCGCTAACCTTCCTCCTTTGTCTCCCAGATGGAGAAATTGAGCCACTGAGCTGGGAAGCAACATGCCCAAGGTTATAAAGGGAGTCAGTGCCAGAGCCAAGGATAAAACCTGGGGTCCTTAATTCCCAGCCTCAGGTCTAATCTGTTGTACTTGAACGTTAATTGTTGTAAGAATGACTACTGACTGTAAACAGCCCAAAAAAGCAAACAGCCATGGCTTGCTCTCCCTCACCTTGCCCAGGAAGTCATTCCTACTGACGAGGTCCCAGTCCCAGACCTCGACACAGAGCTTCTCAGTGGCTGACTCATCCAGGTCAAACTCAAAGGTCTCATTCCAGCGGGGGTAGCAGGACTTCTTGACCACCTGTGAGGAAAGGCCAGGCGGACCTGTGTTAATCCTCCTCATTGAAGGGACGTGTAATCCTCCTCCCCCGCACAGCTCTAGAAAGGAGCCCGGCTGAGTCCCTGAGCCGATTAACAGGGACAAATCATGAACTTTCAGGGGGGAAGAAAAGCACCATCCACACCTGTGCCCCAGCCAACCCTGCAGATCATGGAGCCTTCTCCCCTGCCTTGAGGCTTCACCTACCTGCCCACCCTGCAAGACCACTGCCTAGATGGGACTGAGCCAGGCAGAGGAGAATCAGGCCCCCCCTTTTTTTTTTTTTTTTTTTTTTTGCAGAGACGCCCTACAGCCACAACAGCTGGGCACATATTTCTAGCACCCTCAAGATCATGAGCACCATGAGCTGCAGGTTTCGGGGCAGCTTGCTGCAGAGCCAGGTGGCTCTTGCACAGCTCAAACCCAGATGTCTAATGCATCCGTCAGTCAGGAGTGGGTTGTTTCAGGCCAGTCAAGATGTTTTCTGTCACCCCGCTTGGTTTTCGTTCCCTTTTCCCTGTGGGTCAGTGGAGTTGGGCTGGTGAGTTTCACTTCTGGGTTTTCTCTTTCTGCTCGGTTTCACTGTTACGAGAAAGCCTTGACACAGCTCTTGCAGGGCAAAGCCATCAAATAGATGTAATACCCATTTCAGCCCTGTTAAGGCCCCTTTACCCTACCAGAGTGGTGGTGAAGGACCTTAGCTTTACTGAGAACTCTGGCCTTTGATTCTCAGGCACTAAACACGTTTCAATCAAAAATTAAAAGATCTCCCTGCAATCCCCACAGCCACTTGTCACCATGACCTATGGCTGTCCACGCAGCATTACAGCCACTATTGCAATATTTGCTGTTTCACTGAACGCTCCTGTTCCTGAGTCATGGGATTAACACCACTCATTTCAAAATGGGAAGTTTCTAGCATGGTCCAAGAAAGGGTAAAAATAATTACACAAGTGCCCAGAGAGGAAAGAACAAGGACATGTTTGTTTCTAAAAGAAAACATAGATTTTAAGCTGATCTCATGATTTGTAGGGTTAACATTTGTGGCTGTCGATACTGATGGGACTTTTTGGTTGCAACTCTGAGGCTTTTTCTAATCACATTAGTTTGGTGAAACCAGTTCTTGAAACAAAAAAAAAGTAAAACCTAAGCTTTAGGTCCATGTTACGCAGGTTTCTGGTGAGAGGATCCCTGCCAGACAGCCCCAGCCAGTTCTATCTAGACAGGGCAACTCCACTGTGATTAAACCAGTGATTCTCAGCCAGGGTGCTACAGCCGCCTGGGGTGCAGTGAGATCCTTTTAAGGCTGCTGCTGGGTGCTATGCAATATTAACAATATTAGGTATGCAAACACCTATATATGACTCACAAGATAACCCGAGATTTCCAATAGGAAGCCACGGCATTAAGAACATTCTGTCCTGTTGCGGCCTTTCTGAGTTCTTTGCAACAGAATTGCTCTGTTATTTTTCTGTAATTAAAAAAGAGTGAAAGGGGGGCCCTGAATCTAAAAAGTTTGAGAACCACTAGGTTCGAAAGTAGCATGTAGATTGTTCTTTCTTTTATGGGGGCAAGAGGGGACTTGAGCACAGATTCATACTAGGTCCGAACCTAATTTATTTTCTCCTGCTCCATTGCTGCTCAAAGGCATGGGCTTCTGTGCTCTGTGGCTGGCACATTGCAGAGCAGATGGATGGTTAGCCTCTGAAACAGGACCTCCATGAGTCCCCTGAAAACTGGCAGCAGCAAACACAGCCTCCTACTATCAGGGAAAAAGTGACATTCCTCCTCAGGCCAATCCCTGCTGTGGCATGAGCCCCACCAGAGTGCAGGCCTGCCAGGACTTGTGAGGGCACCAGGAATGAGTCGGTGCTGAAAAATTTGGGCATGGACTTAAGCCCTCCTCCATATTCTAGGGTTGCTCAGACCCTGGGAGTCCGGCTCAGGCCCCGCAAAGGGCAGCGAGACTGGTAGAGAAGCTGCACCAGCTTGTCTTCTATCAAAAATGACAGTGGCAACAATAAGGAGCCTTGCTCACTCCCGTGACACTTTCCTCACTGAGCCATGCACAGTCTCAGAGTCAAGCCCCACAGGGGCACCGACTTCCACCTGCCTCCAGGTATCACCACTGGTCTCAACAAGCAGCAGCCAGGGTAGGGGATGGTGTGCCTGGAGCCCTGCTCCTCCAGCAGTGCTGCCAGGGGACAAGAATGGCTCTGTTGTGCCCTCCTAACCCAGTCCAAGGCTGCTTCCACCACAGACACAGTGACATGGATGGGACCCTCTGCTGACCAGGTTCCTGCCTCCCTGCTTGCGAATGGGGGTGGCAAGAGAGGCCCTGCAGCCACAGGGGAACTCAAGACAACCCCCTTACATGAAGAGGTCTTGCTCCTGAGACTCACCGAGCTCTCCTGGGTCTTGCCGTGGTAGCGCACCCTCACGAAGGGGTCAGAGGCACCGTTGCGGTCCTTCCGAGCCAAGTCCCTAAAGCAGAGAGAAGGAGGATGAAGAAAAAGGGCCTTCCTCGCCTTGCTACCACGGGCTTCCAACTGCCCGGGCTGCTGTGGAGAACAGAGCACCCAGCATAGTGGAGGCTGGCTCCCTGCACAACCATAAGGGTCCCGCTCACATGGCCTCTCCTTGGTTCCTCCTGCTGGCTGCACACAAACGGGGACAAACAGATGGAGAAATCCCCAGGGTAGGGAATCAAAGGAAGAAATAGGTGGAGGAAAGAGGAACATGTCCCAGGCCTGGGCAGATCTGCAGAAACACTGAGCTCTGCACTGGGACCCATATCATGCGGCTCTGGGCACGAACAGGAGACTCCAGCTCCCTGCCACAGACTGGACTGCACTGCACTGCACCCGGGCTGGCTCAGGCCCAGCAGAACCAGGGTGGCTGCTGGAAGCACACTGCAGCATGGGGACTTCTCCAGGGGAGCTCCCTGGGCTATCAACTTGGTTCTCCCTTTCCTGGTAGGAGAAACACCATGTATCTGGGTCCAAGTAGGCAGTTTTCCTTAAGCCCTCCCGGGGATACTGTTTTTCTGGTGTGGTTTAGCACCCACCAAGGTGATGGGGTCTAATGCCCACTTTATGGAAGTGGGAGGCTCCTCCCCAGCTTGCTCCTGCGGCCATATGGTTGAGGGCAGGTGAAACTTGAGGGCTTCTGAACCCCAAGCCTCTAGGCTTGGGCCTGCACGTAGGATGCCCGCCAAAAGACGTTGGAAATATCTAAAGCCCCTGTGGGGTAGAGGATGTTTGTCGGTCGTAGGGTCACTTATGGTTCTGGGCTGACTCATGGATTTGGACTTGATTTGGCTGATTTGGCTTGGAACATGAAAAATTTCTTTAAAAACAAAACAAAAACGAAAACTTGGTAATCCCTTCCCCAAAAGCTGCAGAGTAGAGAAGATGCCTTTGGGGAGGCCAGGCTCCATTCCTAGGCCATGACCTTGGCAGGAGGGCAGAAGGCCAATGATCTACACAGTCTAGTATCCTGCCTCAGCCAGTGGCCAGCATCACACTGCCAAGGATTTGTCTTCCAATGTCCAGCAGCTGGTGGTGAGCTGATGCCTGGAAAAATGGAAGTGTGTGGTCCTCTCTGTGTTTTACCTTCTCCTTTAACCTGCTGCTTCAAGTCTGGACATTCACATTCATTATAAAAATGCCCAGTCAAGGACATCTGATGGCTATGCACTCCCCAAGCCAAAGCATCAACATATGCTCCCTTCAGCCTGCACTGGGAAAAGGGAGGCATCGGATCTGATTTACCTTCTCACCCATTCAGCATGTGTGTGCCTTCACTGTGTCTCCCATTCTCTCCCTCCTGGTCAGCGGCTCTTCCAAACTCTCACCATTCCCATCACCTTGCTCCTGAGCCCCTCTGCCTTTGTCACATCCCCTTCCACATAGGCAGCCAGACCAGTGTGGCGTTCCAGATGAAGTTTCCTTTCTACCTAGGAGAACTTCCACAATCTTTGAATTATCCTCTGTCTGACAAAGTGTGTTTGGACCCAAAAACTTGCAACGAAAGAATTTTTTTTGCTACTATGTAGCTGGTCTAATAAAAGATATCACCTCTAGCCCAAGAGTTTTGTCTGCATTCCAGATAAGCATATGCTGTTTACACTGACAACAACCTGATCATATTAGCAGGAATCTTTTCAACAATGGGCTGAGGGCAGGTCTTTCTCCGTCTTATTTTGCTTACAATAAACCTATTCTGAGTTCTGTCTGTAGACAGCATCCCTGGAGAAAAGCCTTTTGCTAGCTGCACCATATTTCTGATCGGATGACTCATCCATGCAGATTACAGCGATGCACCAGAAAGGGGAGGGAAGCCCATCAATTTCCAGAAGAGTCTGCAGAATTGCCCGATAAGGACCTTTACACATGTAGACTCCCTGCCTTTCCCCTTCCCCCACCCCAAAGTGCCCCATTCATTTTTTCCAGGTATTCCTCAGCAAAGTTAGAAGCTACAACCTACACCCCTGTAATTCCAGACCAGGCACTTGGCATTTTCACATATGGCATTTCCTGTCTTGTTTGTCCTTCTAGAGCAGAAAAATCCACCCCATTTGGTTTCAAAGACACAGCCATCCTGTTTATTATGCTCTCCAGGGTACTTTTTTTCTATAAGACAATTTCCATCTGCTTTAAATTAGCCCAGCAGACTGAGTCCTGTTGACGCAGGTTCTCCCTGGTGAATCTGGTGCTGCTACATGCTGATGAACCACGATGTATCAAATGCAGATGGTTTTCCAGAGGCAAAAAGCAAAGGGTAAATAGCTGGCATGGATGGTTTGGACTAAGAAGATGCAACGAACCCAGAAAGAAAAAAGCGAAGGACTTAGACTGCTTTGTGCAAACCCTCCCCCACACACAATCCAGCCTCCAAGGCACACCGTCGGCTGAGACCTAAACACACCTCTGCAGTAGCATCAAAGTCCTTTTGATCACCTATGCTACATTTTGCTTTGAACAGTGCAGGGCTCTGCTGGTTACCCCAAGCAGACTTCAAAGGGCAGGGTCACCTGTTTGATGCCACTTTGAAACAGCACATCTGTGGGAGGCTCTGGGGATGCTGGGTTATTATTTGCTTAAAGAGACTCAGGGGGAGGATGCATTACTAGGAGGATGTCTCTGTGACTCACAAGGGCCCCAGCTACTGCTGGTATCGGACAGCACTCCCTCTGTATTCTCCCTCTGGAGAATAAATGACCTTGCTCCCTGGAAGACCAGGCCAGTTTGCAACAGCTGAGGGCCAGCACCGGTGCCTCCTGACACGATGATGTTAGGGGACAAGATCTGCCGGTAGGACAAGGATGGGTTCTTCCTTGTCTGCCTCTGCTCTGCAAAAAAAAAGTGTCAGATCTGTACCCTAGGCTGTGAGATTTCTAGGTAATCCCTTATCTGTTAAGGGCTGTACAGCAAACACTAAAATCAGGACCCACAGGTCCCATTCCCCCATATGAATGTTAAATGAATTAGTAATCAACAAACATTAATTATGAGAGGAATAAGAGCCAGCAGCTCAGGAAGCCTGCAGAGTCCCTGGAAGGAGGGCTCCAGGCATGTTGGTGAATGGGGCTCAGCAGGAGGCTATGAGATGGGGTTTGTGTATACAGGGAGGGGGTCACATCTGAGAGGCTGCTACACGGGATCTTTTTCAAATAAGCAAGACAGAGGCCCCGGAAAGAGCCCCAAGGGAAAGACCCCAGTGACCCAGCTCTACACCTGCCTCAGATAAGACTCAGAGGCAGCCTGGTTGTGAGCCCAGTTCTCCACGCAGAGGAGAATACAGCAATTCCCTGAGGGCCAGATGGGAGCCGTCTGCATCCGCATCTCCCTCCCCCTCCCTCCCAGCGTGACACTGACACCCACCAGGATAAGATGTCAGCCCAGAGGGTCATTACAGGTGCAGCCAGATCACAATCACTCAGCCACTTCCCGTGGACAGGGAGGCAGGCCCCGGCCAAGCCGGCTGCAGGCCACTGAGGGCAAGAGGGCAGGGAAAGCTCTGGCTAGTCTCCAGCTGCATCCAGGTCACCCCAGCGAAGGGTTTCACTACTCTGGGCAAAGCTGCCGACTGGAAGCACCAGCCAAGACCCCCACTCACAACGAAGGGTTTCACTACACTGGGCAAAGCTGCCAACTGGAAGCACCAGCCAAGACCCCCACTCACACCTACTGCAGCTCTCGCCCCCTGGCCCTGGCCTGCTTGCTGTCTGGCCCCCGCAGCGAGTCTCCTGCTTGTTAGAGCAGCTGTAATTAGAGATGGGAAAGGTCTGTCAGCTCACCGCTTGCCCACAGGGCGTTCACACAGAGCTCCTGCAGCCAAATTTAGCTGGAAAGGTCAAGTGCCTGCGTGAGCACGGAGGGAAATTCCTCAGAGCTGCATGACTCACGCTAAGGGGATTCCAAGCCGACGCCTGGCTGGGGGAGCGGGATGCTTGTGGCTTCCCAGTGCCCCTCCTGCCCACGTTCCTGCCTGCCTGAGTCGCAGGCTTTGCTGCACGGGGGTGGATCAGACACCACATCAGCTCCAAACAAATGTCTCTGCTTCCACTCAGCTGGGTAGACACTGCAGAGTTCCCGGGAGGCAGGGAGGCTCCAGACCTGCGAGGACACCCACAGGGAAACGCAGCAGGATTTCCAGTCCTCCCTCATTTCCCCTGCCCTTGCCCAGGGTTTCTCTGCATGTGTTTCGCCAGCCGCCTCCCGAGGGCCCGTTTCTGTTCCTACCTGGCTTCAAACACCCTGCAGCGCAGCTTCCGTGCCACGTTGCTGCCCAGGATCTCGATCAGGAGATGGATTTCCCCCTGCACCTCCTCGTCGGGATCGATTTCTGTCAGGTTCAGCCAGCCGCTGTAGCCTGGACACAGGGGGAATGGCCTGCTCAGAGGTGCATCTCCCCGGCCCAGATGGGCAAACTGAGGCCTAGAGAAGTTGTCCTGCTTAATCAGGGTTGCTCGGTGAAGTGGTGATGGAGCCAAGCACAGAGTCCGCGCATCCTGACAGCCAAGCCACTGCTTCCACATTTTCTAGACACACACCGTGCTGCATATATTAGCCAGTGAACTTAATGCCAGGTAAGAGGCTCCAGCCCTGAGAAAGTAAAGTCTTCCTTCCATAGGGAAGTCAGAGCACTGTCCCAAACTGCCAGTGCCTCAAGGCTAGCTCGGAAGAAACAGATGTGCATCTCCTGAGCCAAGATGGCATGGGGGGAGAGGGTCAGGGGAGGGTCTGAGTTGCCCACAGCAGCTCGGGGAAGGAGCTGGGTTGCACACATGGCTGTGAGTGGAGCTTGGCTGCCGTGGCAAGGCAGGAAAACAAGTGGCCTGTGCGGTGGCAGGGACCCCAGGAGGCTGCCCCATGGTACACAGCCCATACAATGCATGGCCCATGAGCCTGCAGCCCCCAAAACCTGAACAGCCTGACATGGGCCACATGGAGTTGTGACCAGGTCGAACAGGACCCTTCTACTCATTTGGCTGAGCAGTCCTCCAAGGTAACAGCTTTCCATCACCGGCAGCAGGACCTAATGGGGAAAAGCTTTATCTGCCCCTCGGCCACTTGCCACCTGGCAGCACTTCCCCTGCCCAACATGCTGAGTTCAGAGCTGCTGCCCCCAGGATCACTGGCCTCTCTGGGATGCAAACAACAAGCCAGGTCTCCAGAGTCCTTGCAAACCTGCCTGGCCCAGCCACAGAAGCAGACATGTGCGGTGCAGGGAGGAGGCCACTGCTCCTCCTTGCCTCCTCCATCCACAGATATCCTCTGTCCTTATCTCTGGGCTGCATGGCAGCAAGCAGAGGACGTGAGCTGCCTCCTCAAGGAAGAGGGGACTCGAGCAGAGAGAGACCTGTATGACTCATCCCCAAGGCAGGTGGGAGATGGCTTCCTCCAATCACAGGCAGGCATTTCCCCGCAAAGGGGACTGCCAACATCAGGTATGCCCTATGTCTGGACCCTCAGCTGAGCTCACAGCCTCTCCTCCCTCCTGACCCAGCTGCAGTGGGGAGGGATGGCTGGATCTAGCTGTGGGGATCAGCTCTAAACGTGCGTCACTGGAGCCCTTGCTGATAAGCACAGGGGGTGGGGTCCAAGAGCCTGCTTGAATAAACAGCCATGCTACTCTGGTACCAGGCACATCCTCTGTGAATCCTGCTTCCCAGGGCTCTGGCCACTGCATCAGCATTGACGGGTAGTGCTTATACCAGTCAATGCAAGCAAAAGCTGGCGTGGCCTTATGGCATGCAGGGCACCCTGCTCTGGGTGCAAACAGATGTTGCTCTTGTGCCACTATAAACATATTTATAGTGGCACAAGCTGTGAGTGACTTCCTAGCCCCTTGTCATGTTCCAAGAGCCCAAAAATGTTGCTATGACCAAACCTAGTTGTGGGCTGTGACATCTTAAGTGGGATGTCTGTTAGCTTATTGCCCACCCCAGGAAATCCCCACAGGGATGCTCGCAGCACGTGTTTTAGGCTGCTGGACCCTGACTCGAGGTATGCACCTGCAAGAGGGGGAACCTGAATGGGGGCTGTTGTTCCACAGGATCAGGCCCCTGAAGCCCCAGGAGTGGCCTGGGACAGTGCCCCAACCCCACTGGGGTTACACCTGTAGATGCCAATCAATAAAGTGGAGCAGCTCTGCTGGGATGTATCCCTACACAGCTGATCCTGCTCCAGACAATGTCTGTTTATAACCTCCGAAATAGCTCGGCTGGAACACTGCAGTGTCCTGCAGCCAGGCTGGCTTGTACAGTGCTGGGTATGGCAGTGCAGGGCAGAGAGCCTTTATGGTGGGACCCAAGCTGTGTGGATTTACAGGGACACGAGTGAGGAATTCCTGGTTTGGCAGATGTTAGAGCCAATGCCCCCACCTGAACTCAGCTCCCACCCCCTTATTTCCTGGAAGGTTGGGCACTGCTGAAAAGCTCCAAGCCGTCCAAGCAGGCCAAGTGTCCAATGTCGGGACACACACAGAGGGCTGACACAGGCTTGGTTTCACTTCTGTTCCCCCGGCAGGCAAGTGCACAGTGATGATAGAAGCAGCAATCCCAGCCCTGAAAAGGGGCCCACCGTGGGCTGGTAGGCACTGGCACAGCCCCCAGTCCTCTGCCTGGGCCCTTGATGCCTGAAGATGATGTACTGGGACAGTATATATGCTGCTGGAGCTTGCTGCCTGCCTGCACACAGGGCCCAACCCCTGCAGCCCAACCCCAGTCCCAAGACTCTGCCTTACCCTTGGGATGCTTGGCCAGCACATCCAGAGGCAGGCAGACTTTTCCGATGACGTCATCACGGCTGGGGAGACAAAATGAAGAGCCTGTCACTGCAAGGGTGGGACAATATCTGCCTTGATGAACTTCTAATAGGCCGAACGCCTGCCAAAAGTTGGTTCAAATGACCCAGGTCTGAATCTGCCCCAGGCAGAACAATCTTTCAGATCCCCAGGCTTCAAGTTTAAGGTCAGAGCTAATGCTGAAAAGGAGTCCACTCACCATTTCTGGTCTATACCTGGCGAGATTTCAGTAGAACTCTTGCCAGAGGGGCTAACATACCAGCCCAAGTCCTACTGACCTTACTGAGATCATCAGTGCAAGCTCAAGTGGGATCCTGAACTAGAGGCCACATCCATGCAGTAGCCCCACTTTTCCTGCCCTCATGGAGCAGATCCCAACATGGTTTACAAGAAGTAGCATCTGATCCCTCTTGCATGGAGGTACAATAGAAAGTAACTTGCTCAAGGTCCTCTACAGGCAGGGGCAGAGACAGGAATTAATCCAGGTCACCCAAGTCCCGGTCCAGGGCTCTGTCCATTGCAGCACACCACTGTCCCTCCCTCTTGACCAAGGTAAAGAGTCAAGTCCGGGGAGGTGCTTAACCCCTGCAGCACCCCACTTAATCTTTGGGGCCTGGTCTCTGAGGAAGGCTGCTGAGCAGGCAGTCTGTCACCTCCCCTACCTGCTTGTGCTGCCCAGCTCCTTACCAGCACCAGGTCACTGCAGACCAACAGGCCCTTGCTGCTGGATCCAGCTGAACTTCCTGGCTCAAGTCTAGCAGCAGCTTATACTATGCTGCCATCCTACACCAAATCTCTGCAGCACACACATGTACTTTGCACACGCACAATCTCTGGCATCTGTGCCATGCCTTGGCCATAATCAAAGGCTGAGAAGATGGTATCAGAGCTGCTGCCATTACTCCTACAGTGTCTTGGGGCCACACAGAATACAGCAGTAGCCACAGCCCCTGCCCCAAGCACTCAAGCATTAGGGCAGGCTTTGGATCCCACCAGAGACAGTTCTCCGCAGAGAGACAGACTGGAAATGCCTCAGTCAACTAGAAGTGACTGATCTGGGCCTGCTGACTGGAGTCACTTACATGCAGAAAAGGAAGAGTTTACAATCTAGCCAGGGACTTTCAACCAGCTGCTTTACAGAGACCACAGCCCTCTCCCAAAGCAGTTCTTCCTCTCTGGTGCATGCACCACACTGTTTATTGTAAGGTTCCCTCCAGCACGTAGTGCTCCATGGGCTGCTGAGCTCCTGTAAGCTGCCCAGGATCTCTGCACACCCTGGTGTACTACTGCAGGGTTGTTCAACAGGATTGCAGGGTTGCATATTGTAGGATTGTTATTGTACAGCTCACATGCGAGCTGAAGCCACACATTAGCATGTTACTGTAGGGTCTGCTAATAAGGCAGTGCATGCCCAGGGTGAAAGCTGATGTAGGGTAGCTCAGGCACAGAGGTTTGTTTTGTGGAGAGATGTGGAAGGGCTAGGCCCTCTGTGTTCTTGCCCTGAATCGGAGTAAGAAACAAATTCTCATAAAAAGAGTTGCACAGAGTTTGCTTAAGAAGTGTATGCATGCATCTCTCTCACACACACTTTTAAAAGCAGGTTCCATTCCAGGATGTCAAACCCTGAGGAGAGGCCAGGTTGCAGCCACTGATCCTCTTCCATCCTCATCTGGATCTTGTCTGCTTTCAATCAAGCTGATGAGGCTTTTCCCTTCCATGACTCTGGGCCAGGGGTGGGCAAAATGCGGCCTGCGGGCCAGATGAGGCCTGCGAGGCCATTCTATCTGGCCCGCAGGGCCCTGAAAAAACTTAGGAAATTAATATATATCTGCCCCATGCTGCCTGTCATGCAGCCTTCAATGGCTTCCCAAAACTCAGTAAGCGGCCCTTTGCCCAAAATAATTGCCCACCCCTGCTCTGGGGGGAGCTGATCACTGGGAGTTTCCTCTTCTATGGGGTAACCTGTTATACTAAAGCCACAAGCAACCTATCCCTCAGGCTCTGCTCTCATCTAAACTCATGGGTCCTGAGAGATGCTTGCCCTTCCATCCTTCTGATATTCAGGGAAGGGGAAGGAAGGAATCAGAAATTGAACCTGTCTCTTGACCTGACCACTGAGAAACAACACAATGATCCCCATCCCCATCTCTGGCTCCGCTGGCTATGGCATTGTTCAGCCCCTTTCCAAATAATAGTGGTGACTTGAAATGCTCTGCAAGCAGCTGCAAATGATGAAGAGCTCTTGAGCATCCCATCGCTGATTGCCTGGAGCTCTAGGAAGCCAAAGCCCTGCCATGTTCTGCATGTAACTGGGGCCACAACTATTCCTTTTGCCTGTGCCAGCAGAAAGGTCCTGGTAGAGCTCTGGGATGGTGGCAGGAAAGCGTCCGACTCCAGAAAAGGGGGCAGCTTGACAGTGGTACTCACTCCTGTCTCTCTGTGCCAACAAGGAGCAGAGGAAGCACCTGGGTCAGTAACCCATGGAGCCCACCTGTAGGCACCTGCCCCTGAAAGCAGGGAGCCATCTCCTGACTCAAAGCCCCTTACTTGGGAAACTCCTGAACATGAAGACATCCTCTGATGTCTCCCAAGCTACAAGAGCCAGCCCTAAGGTGCCTGACACTTCTTGATCCAGCCCAGATTTCCCAAGATCTCTGTAGGACAGGCACCCTCATCCCATGCCTTGTCACTGATGATTACACCTCTCTCCAATGTTGAGGACTCCTTGGGGACTCCGAACTCAACTGGGTCACATCCCTGAACACAGAGAGAACAGGGCACACACCGTCCAAAAGGCACTGCTGCACTGACCCCAGTCTGTACCTCCTCTGTATGGACATGCACTTCTCCAGGCCCAATACACCAGGGCTGGTGCCAGGGAGGCCATATGTCAGCAGGCACTTTGCCAGTGCTTGGGAGGGTATTCTCTTTCTGTGCCACCCATCATTTTACAACCTACCTGCATGGAGCAGGGCTGCCCATGCAGAGAACTTTAGCAGTAGTGCAGTTCTCTGTAGCTTTGGCCTTGCCAGCTGGGCTGCTGGAAATGCAGGGGAGGCCTCACTGTGTGCTTCTCACAGCTGCCAAGGCATTTAATTAAAGAGTGGTCAGGGGCTAGAGTCAGCTTTGGATACTGTCCAGGGGGACCAACAGTGTGATGCAAAGCCTAAGCACATGCCAGCAAAGACAGCACTGATCACAGCCTGTAGTTATGCCCAACCCTGCTCTGAAGTGGTTGACTGAATCCTTGCTGGCACTGCTTTGATAAAGCATGCTGTGGGGCTGGCAGGGTTTCTATTAATTTTATTTGGACCTTTTCTATGGCTCCTTGAAAGCAACGGCTGCATTCCTGGCAGAGATCGGCAGGACTGGCACACTCCTCAATGGCATGCACATCAACCTCTTGCTTCACTGCCAGCCTGCATCTGAGAGTAGCCATGTGCTCAAAGCACCAGGGCAAGGGGGAGACTGAGATCAGTTCTCAGCTCTGCCACTGACTCCCTGCATGACCTTGGACAAGTAATTTCACACGTTTGCAACAGTCCTCCCTCTGCCTGATCTGTCTAGATTGGAAGGTCTTTGGGACAGGGGCTAGATCTACCTAGGTGTGAGCCTGGTGCCTTACATGGGTGTGCTTCTGGGTGCTGCCTGCCACAAAATTAGCAGCAAGGTCTGGTGATCCCAGCCCAACCCTCTGCTCAAATCAGGAAGCATTCATTCTGGCACTGCAGACAGCAGCAGAGTGGCAAGGAGTAACCGGAGACTAGGACCCAAAGGAGTTGGTACCATACCTGAGTGCATCTTCATCCATCACGTAGAAAGACACATTGTGGAAGCTGGGCGGCAGGTGGACCTCATACTCCTCCCCCCAGAATGGGGACAGAGTCTTCCACACTGTGGCTGTCCTGTAGGGCAATGTCCTTTTATTTACAGAGATACTACAAGCACCTACTAACAGTGTAGAGTAATCTTTTAAACACCCCTCCCATCTCCCCTTGGATACAGATCTACCTGGGATCTTCCTTGACAGTCCTGCCCCCCAAGTCTCCAAATGCCACTGCAGGGCAGCGAGACACCATTTCCCCACAGTCAAAGCACTGGGTGAGATGTTGCACCAAGTCTCCTGACTACCCATGCTGATGAAAGCATCCATGACACTTCTCCACAGCAAGCATCCTGGCCAAACTCCCTTCTCCCTCTGCACCTTCATATGGGTGGGTGCACAGGGACCCTCAAGGGTCAAGATCAGTTTTCCATGGGTGATGACCAGGCTCCCCTTCTTCAGGGCTGGATGTGGTGGTGTGGGGCTGGGGTGAGGAGCCCAAAAGTTTTCTTTTTTGTGACCTGGGTTCACAGCACAGAAAAGTCTAAGATACGATGTATTCTCCCTCAGCACCTGAGGGCAAGTTGGGACAGGAAGGATCAGCTTTTCATCCTTACTAACCTAGGTCTGGAGACTCTCAGTGACCTAACGCCAAAAGGATCTGGGCTGCCTGTAAACTGTAGTTTTCTTAGGCCTGTCTGCCTACAGAGCTGGACAAGGGGTGTTTTAAACATGTGATAGGGAATGTGTTATAATCTCGATGCAGACAGGATATGTTAGCTAGGTGGGGTAAACTTTACATGGAGGATGGTGTAGAATTCAGCTCAATCAGCTAACTTGCGTACGCTGGCTACTGTCCACACTTGGCTTCTATCACACGTTAGCTCTCAACTTTTAAATGTTCATTTTTTCCACAAGTATAAACATCCTTCAGCATCAACTTGTTGAAAACTGGGAAACAGGACCTCAGCCCAGCTCCCTTCAAGGCCCAGAGGAGGGGGGCAGGGTGGGGAAATCAGTGTTTCTTGTAGAGGATATGACAGAAAACATGAGAGGGAAATAGGTTTTCTGGTAACTCCTTATTGTTTAGAGTCAAACCTGGGTTTGGGGGCGGGTGGTGTCTACTGCATTAGAGAGGAGTTGACAAGAGTTTTCCCCACTGTTCCAAAATAAACAGGCCATTAATAACACGTTAGGAGACAAAATTAAACAACCTTTCTGGCATTAAAACTGCTTCTCTTTAAATGGCTGGCGCCTGAAGTCCTAAAACCAGTAAAAACAAAACAAATAGAGAAGGCAAAGGGCCCGAGCTGTACAAAGCTCCATGGAGCAGAGAACTGCTCCGTTTGTGGTTTTCGAAGCTTGATAAGCACATGCCATGCAGGCTTTTGGAGGTGCGGGCGAATTAATGTTTGTTCCAGGCAGCATTTCATGGAAAAAGAGAGATATGGCACTAGGTCCTGAGTTGGTCTAAAACAGTCTAAGCTCCATTGCAATCAGCCAGGTTAGGCTGGTTTACCGAGCTGCAGGGCTAGACCATGGGGAGAAAGGGACTGAGAGCATGCGAGTGAAGATTAGAGACAGCAAGTGCCCAAGGTAGTTACCTGATGATGGCTTCATTGTCGATTTTCACAATGCAGTAAGGATCACTGCTGCCTGTACTGGAAGACAAAACAAACCCCACTTGGCATTAGCCTGGATTTTGCCACCTGTGGAACTTCTCACGACAGCCCCCATGAGACGGGAGACTCTGAACTTCCCTTTCTTGAGTCACGGGAGCCTTTCCCTCCTGCAGGGTCTTAGCAGCAGGATTCTGGAGACAATGCTGTGTAAGAGAGGCGGGGAGGCCAAGTGGACAGTACACAGGGCTGACACTCAGGAGATCCGGACTCCTTTCCTTACTCAGTCATTGCCCTGCATGGGGATCTTGGGCAAGTCATTCCCCATTTGTGCCTCAGCTTCCCCCACAGCTCTGCTTTGTGGAGCATTTTGAGATATACTGATAAAAAGCACAATACAAGAGTGATGTATTATTACTACCAGAGTTCCCATGCAAAGTGACAGGTGGCAGGATGACCTATCACTTGATATCAAGGGCAACTGTATGAAAAACCACAAGACAAGGCTGATATCTCACCCTCCCCCTTCCCCTTCCCCTCCCTCCACTATTATTCACAATAAAGTCACACACAAGAAGGACTAATCAGCCAGTGACCTTGGCATGAGATGAACAGCTTCTTCTATGAATTTGATACGGAACAGAGGGGAATGAGTTCTTTAAAATAAAGAGAATTACTAGCAGGCCACTGGAAACCACCCTCCTAGACAGACTATCACACTCCAGCACTTCTTAGTATCTTTAGTCCAAAGGCCTGAAAGACTTTCACAAACGTTAAGACCTTGTCCATACTAGAAGGGATTTGCTGAATAGCAGAGGCTATGGGCAACATGAAAACTGATTTTTGTCTGTATAACTACATCAGAACACTTTGGATAAAATGCTGGTACATTTGTTATTTGTCTTACTGTGCCCAGCCTCACAGGTACAAGCTGGCTCTGCTAGGCTTGACCATGGTTGAGGTCTCTGGGTGCAAGTGTACTGCAAATAATAATAAAGCAGTGAATTCCATCATTTGACCAAGATGGATCAAACATTTCCCCCAGACTCAGATCCAGCACTGAACACTGACACTACAACACCCACTGGGAAACAAAATGATTGAAGGAGTCTGGTCAACCAGGGGAGAAACTATGGTTTCTCCATCCCTTCAAGTCAAGAGCAGACACCCCTCTAGAAGCTAACCAAACACAACACAGAGATAAATGAATGGAAAGCTCGGGCCTGTGTTGCACAACTGGTCAGCCTAGATGAGCTAAAGGTCCCTTCTAGACAAAAAGTATCTACGGAAGTGTTTTTCACCCTACGGCATCTGGAGTGAAATGGCCTGCACCGAGCTAGGCTGGTAGCACATTCTGCCTTTAGTCACAGAGCGTGAAGGTAATAAATCTCAAATGCCAGCTCCCTTGTAAACACAGTGATGCCTGACTGGGAATCTCTCAAGCTATTTGGCTGCCAGCACAGATTTCCCTTCATCCACCAACACCCAGTATGAGGAACTCTCTCTCTAAGTGGTGCTGAATACCTCTAGCTTCCTCCATCAGGCTGGCTGTTTGTGACCCGTCAGCCTGAGGCAGAGTGATTAAGGGCTTCCGCAGACTGGAAGGGATGCAGCTGTTTCCTGAGCTGCCAAAACGGTCACAGACAGATCAAGCTCTCATGGACCAAACAGCAGGACCCTAACATTTATAGGAGGGGAGAGCTCCAAGGATACAACCCACTGGGTCCCACTCCAATGTTAGGGTGTGAGATACATTAAAGAACGGGAAGCATGTTGCAGCCAGGAGCTCCGTGAGGCACACCTCTGCAGCTCACCATCACTAGCCCAATCAGGTTTGCACATGGGGACAGTAGACTAAGCCAGACTAGTATATCCAGCTATTCTGGCAACATGGAGCTCATGAGCCTCCTGCTCCCACAGCCACAAACTCCCATCTTTCACTGGGGAGAATTTAACTGTTTGTTGGCTCCCCCTGAAGAGAGATCTTGGTCCCTGCCTCTTGCTGTTGCTCCAGAGGAAGCCCCACTGAACCAGCAACTTGCCACAGCTGGAGTTAGGTGAAGAAAACCTTTGACACGTTTCAAGATAAAGAGAGAGAACTGATCTTCCTGGCATGTGGAATCGGGATCTTCTATCGATGCTACAGCAGGGACCGCAAAGGCAAAAGGAGAATGGTGACCAGTGCAATCAACTCTAGCGGCAACCTGAAGTCACGTCATGTTACAGAGGCTGGGCAGTGCCCTCCGGTGCCTGCATCATCACTGAAGTTCCCAATGAACATGTCAACAAAGGGAAACATAGCCTGCCACGATGTCCAGTGTTATAGCTCCTCCTGCAGATGCCCATACAAGTGTCAGTCCATCAGCTGCAGGGCTTTATTTATAGAAGTAAGGTTTCCAGCCTTTTGAACTCATGATCTGCCCATTTTTCTTCCAGAGAGCCTGGTACTGGGGCCGATTGCTCCCAGGGGATCTCTTTATGTTACTGGTATGACGTACTCCCATTGCTGCTTCCCAAGCCTCCTATTTTTGTGGTCCGACTAGACTGGGACTGAATTCACTGGGAGCTGAGCTTTCTTAAGACACACAATGCTAAGTCCCAGGCCAGAGATGAAGTGTAGCAATAATGACCTGGCACTACCAGGGCACCACAGACTGAATCAGTGGGTCCTGGAGCATGTCTGATAGCATGCAACTTCTATAGCCATGATATCATGAGGGTCCTTGCTGCTCTTGTGCTGCTGATGTCCAACCAAAACCCAATCTGCCTTGCTCAACATGCTATTAGCATTCACTGAAGTAAGCTGCAGAGCAAACCTGGCAGCACACACAAGAAGGCTGCACAGCTCAGAGGAAGGGGTGTAGGAGGCTGACCTTTTCACCCGAGTCACTGACTAGTTGATGGCCCAGGTCAGCACTGGATGGAAGTCATTTCACCTGACAGCTGCATGGGCCATGGCATTAAACAGAGCTAGTAATCTCAGCTCTGAAAAAAAAAAAAAACAGGAAGTCCCCACCTGCAAAGGGTGGGGATTCTGTGCACAAATGCTCTAAGAAGTTATCTTGCAAGACTGAGTGAATGGTCTGGAGCCTGGGGAAAGCTAAGTCAGTTTAAGCATCCACCCTAACCTGTGTGGATGCTGCAGAATAGTTTTGTGCAAACCCTGCCCCATAGCAACAGAGTCAGAGGCAGGGATTCTTGGGGCTTTGGGTTAAGCAGAACTCAGCTCACCCTCCACCTTAGTTCAATGAGAGAAAGCCTTTACCCTGCCCAGCACAACTCAGATGCAAAACATGGCACTTCATACAAGTGTGGACACCAATTGCTGAAGCCAGGCAAATGCAGGGCTACTGCTTAGGGCAGAGACTTTTGTTCATCTCTCAAGCAGGTTGGGCAAGACTCCTTCTGCCCTTGGGCCTGAGACTCAAGGGGTAGGAGGATTTCCAAGTTACACGCTGCTAAAATAACACAAGCTGTGGCTCAGACAAAACCCCATGCCCCAGAAAGCAGCTTTGCCCCAGGTTAGGCTGACCAGCCATTTCAAGTTTCCAAGTCCTAACATTAGATCAGGGCTACATGGCCTGCATGTGGCCCAGCTGCAGTCATGGGGCAGAGTGCCACCAGCACCAACCTTCAAGAGGCACTGCAGGGCTGAGTGCCACAGCACCCCCTCTCATCTTGGACAGGAAACTACTCCAGCCCCCTCAGTCCACTGGCTGCCTCCCCATGGGGAGGGAAGCAGCTATAGACAATACAGTGGTAACCAATGCTAGTGCCAGGCTTAAAGTCATATCCTCACCAGCATCATCACCAGCAGAGCAACAGAGCAGTATCAGAAAGGCTGGTGATGACTCCGAAACTCATGCTAGGGCCTACTCAAAAAAGCTGAAATATAACATGCTGATGCTAACTGCATAGTGCAAGAGGATGTGAGTTCATGGCCAGGACATCTGAAAGGAAATAAGGTATCCCTTCCAGCTTATCTTACTATATTAATGATGATTTCAAGCAGGCTCCTAGTTGTCTGGTATGTAAACGTGTGAAATGTCTATCCTTGATTAATTAGCAGGGATCCTGGTTTTCTCTGATAAAAAAAAAACCAAAATAATCACAAATTCTGACAAAAAAATTGCAAATCCTCCAATAAACCCCCCAAAATCCATTATTAAAAGACCCCTGCAGCCCCCCTAGCCCTGCTGGGGCCCCTCACTCGCCTCCAAAGCCATCCCAACCCTGCTGGTGCCCCTCACTGCTCCCAAAACAGCCCCCGCCCTACTTTTGCCTCTTGCCCCCACCCACAGCCCCTGCCCCAGGGCTATGGGGCCAGGGACCCAAGTCTGCAGCTCCCTGCCCCCAACATCAGGCAACTGCAGCAGAAGCAGCATGGAGCCGGCTCCCCCACTGCTGCTGCCTGCCCGGGTGGGGGCAGAGCCAGCTCCTGGCTCCCCCCACGCCTCGCGGGGCCAGAGGGGCCCCCAGCCTCCTGCAAGCCCCATTCACCTCAGGCTCCAGGAGCAAAGAGTGAGGCTGAGCTGAGCAGAGCTGTGGCTGACTGAGAGCCTGCGGCCTTGCCCTTCTCTCCCCACTCCCCCTCCAGGCAGGGCTGGGGGTTCCCCACCCTGTTTGCAAGCAGCTCTTGCAGGCTGGGGCTCAACTAGCCTGCAGAACTATTTGCAAAACAGGGACTCCCCGGGTTTCTCTGCTAAAAAGAGAAATCTAAGTTCTCTCTGATAAAAAGCAGAAATCCGTGGTTTTCTCTGTTTTTCCATGGGAAACAGAAAACCAGGATCCCTGTTAATTAGTATGGTAAATATTTCTTGTACAATTAACTCATTATGTACAAAAAGAGTCAGTCATTCTCCATATGCGATAGATGTCTCCTCCTGATTTGCTTCTGTTTTGGCTAGTGATTCCCTTGATTTTCCAAGGACGCTCCCCAAAACCTTGCGTTTTTCCTGGCTGTTAATCAGTTTCTTGTTATGTTCCAAACCTAGTGGAAATGGATAACTTCTTGTCACTGAGAAAGGTAATTCATTCAAATT